CGACCTCATTCCTGCGCATTTGGTATCAGAGGGGCGTCGAATACAAACCATGTGCAAATCTCCGAAATCGTTTTTTCGTGAACTGTGCCTTTGAGTCGACAGTCAGCCTCTTAGTTTCTTCTTTCACTTAAAATCATCATTACGAATCTCAAGGGTATCGAATTGTAACACGGACGGAGGGAGAAGAAAGGGCTGAGCTGGGCTGCCAGTTTTATTTACCTAGCCGTTCCGATTATTGTTCCTACAAGGCGTCAAATGATTTGCTTCTTTAGTGAAAGTGCTATGTTTTTGTGCCATGGAGAGCAAAAATAACCAAAAAATTGTTTTGATTTGATTTATTGTTACCTGGTGTGAGGGACAAGGCACGGTACCCAGATAGCATAAGCAGAGGTTCGGGTCCGACGTCAAAATTTTGGTCATATGAACCAGAAAATTTCGAACCAGAAGTTTTGAATTTTGTTGCCCTCACTTCCCTGATGGCTGTTTTCTATGAATGGCCACCCACAGCAGCATCGATCTGCTAAATTCTCCTACACTATGTATGAGGTGAACGGGGTGGACGCTCGTAAAAAGGGACATTCACATTTTGCATATTGCCCGAGAAACTGCGAATAGTATTGAAGAACTCACCAAAACTTCCATCAGGGGACGTTTCCGATTCCTCGCACCCATTACCTTCCCTCAAGAAAAAAATTTGGTCAATCATAATTCAAAGTACGTCCTAAATGTCAAAATAAAAATGGCATTTATTCGGTCATCAAGTTTTTAGTTACAGATCATTTTTTGAAATTTTAGTTTATTTTCCTACAACTTCTTCTAAATAGTTTTTTCAAAATGGCTCACAAATTAGTGGTGATGGCAGCGCCACTTCCTCCATTGCGACCTTGAAATTGTTCGGTTTCTTTAAGGCAGAAAACCATACTCACTGCGATTTGATTTATATTGTACTCCTCGTTGTAAAGAGTTCTAAAAAGGGCATTCTAGTGTGAGTAGAGTTTTCAAAATATAACTGAGGTTCCGTAAGGGAGTCAAAAACTAACCCTCCTTATGAACTCCTCACTGTCTATCACCATCTATCAGATAATTATGGGTGTGGGTGGCGTAGTGGCGGACACACATGCACGGCCAGGGGATCGAGTTCCCCATACAGCCCAGGCCAACCAAGCTTCCCACTCCCTCCGAAACTAGTACCAGACTCGGTTACTTAGTACCAGACTCGTTTGGGAAGATAAAAACAGTAATTTTACATTGCCTGGTACCGCAATTTATTGGATAGGCCACACACGCATTCAAACACAACGACGGATTCGAATGAGACTCGAGTGCGGATGCGCATTCCAAAAGCGGGATCGATTGACGCCAAAGGATCTTCCCATCGTTTTCCATACTACTAAACTAATTTGACAGTTTTAAGTTATTTCTTTGCCTGTTAATTTCTTATTAGATACTATTTGTGTTCGCAGATGGTCTAGAGGCAGGTGGCAACCTAATATCACCCATGTTCCAGGCATCGACTCCCATATTGATACTCTCCCAGGCCAACTCATTCTGATCCTCCAGTCAGGTAGGTACCACAATTGTCCGGGAAGATAAAAACATTGACTCGTAAGCCGGCTGGTACCGTAAGCTATTGTAAAGCTCATATATGCATTTGAAACGCTATTACGATTCTGGATGGAACTTAAAAGCGAGGCGCATCTATTTGAATCAATAACAATTCCATGTAATAGCGATTCTCCTGACCTGGCCATTTCATTGCAAAATTCCGAGTTTGATGACACACCAAATTCCTCGAAGCCGTAGGTCACAGGTGCTGGTTCAAAATGCCATGTATTGAACTGAAAATCACAAGAAGGAATAACCAATAGTTGAAAAATCCCTTTTTTTTCAAGATTGGCGAGCTATAGGTAAAACTTTGATCTGAAGGCACTCAAACTCGTAGAGCGAGAGTGCCGCCTCAGATCCAACTAATAAGAATTAGCAAAATGAGAATTGCGCATCTCGTCCAGCGGCAAAATGAAAACACTCAGAGGCACAGTACGTAGTAATTTGAGATACCCGTTTAGGTCAAAAAGTAAATGAGCAAAGAGATAGTACAAAAATGTGGTGTCCTAAAAGTAGTGAAAATCGTGGCTGTACGAGATTGCCGGGACGAAATTATGGTGGAGGGGATGTTTGGACGAGATTTCAGCTAGCTACGTTAGGCCAAATACGTTCAAAATGCGTTCCAGTACCGCCATAGGTCACGTCTAGTTGCTTTAATTTCCAACATGGGTATCCTTGTGAATGGTTAGCCTTCAACAACGGCGTTGAAACTCGTCCGCCATTGGGTGTGACATACAGCAGATACAATATTCGAATCCGTATAACGCCCTATCCGACCATTTTCCGATTTAACGGCGCACATATGGCGTAGGACACGCCACAGTTTCGTTCTAGGAAATATCTAAAGAGCCGTTATCAGCTAACACAAGCTATAATATCCTACTTTATATAATTCGCTAAGTGTGTGTGCGTGTGTCGGTGTGTGTGTTTGACAAGAAATTCACAACTCCTGTTCCCCTGCACCTTGGGAGCTTAAATTTGGAAGCAGTACAGGGGGCAGCATGGAA